AAATAATTGCACAGAATGCATTTAAGAAAAGTGTAACTTTGGGTCGAATCATTTACATAAAATCAAAATTCGAAAAGTTATAATTTTGGTTCGAATCACATTTATCTGGTTCGAATTATTTACGTCAGAAATAAAAAATAAAATTCTGATAAGTTTCTGAAGAGAATATATAACTTTGAAAGGCAAGGAAACACGTGAGTTGGAGTTCAAATCAAACCAAATGACTTTTGGAAGAATTTCCAACAGATAAGTTTCATGAAAACTCAGTTATTATCTGTTAATAAACTAATAATAAACTGAAAATGAGCGTCTGTTCCCAACAGATATTTTGCCCCTATAAATATGAAGTTATCTCTTTTTCTTCTTCTTCTCTTGAACCCAGAAACAAACCCCTCCTATTATCTAAATAAAATAAGCTCCTTTTGCACTTCATTGCTGCAGAAATATTTATACAAAAACTATTGTTTTGTTGCTTTTTATAGGACGGTTCAGCGGTTGATCTTGTTAGTGCAAAAGCAAAATCAACAAGGCGCTTCACTATATCTTACGGGTATTTTGAGTTACAATTTTTGCATTTAGATCTAATGAGGACGAAATTAGCCCAAAAAAAAGTGACATTTGCAACATGCCTTGAAACTATTTGCATATTTTCTACCCTACTTCTTAACATACTTTTCTCATTATGTAATTAGTTTTTTATCTAAAAATTTATTTACAATTTAATATATCTTTATTTAATATTATATTATATCAATTTAATATCATATTATAAATTTATAATTTTATATGACATTATAATTATAGTATTGTATTATAAATTACATTCCCATTTGACTTAAAAACAGAAAAACGAAAATCTATCGAACTTTCAAATCCATTCTCAAATAAGGGCAGACATTGACTTGTCTTGTGAAAAAATATAATGATAAATTATTATTTTTAAATTAGTGTTGAGATAAATAATTTATTATTTAACAACAAATATTATTACACATTAGCTTTTAATTAAAGACAAATTTAAATGGCAAACAAGATTCCTAATATATAATGGTTTCACTTATTAAATAATAAATTATTTATCTCAATCAATAATTTGATAGATAATTTATCCTTTTTTTAAGGTGAATCCATCTATATTCCTATTCTTATTTGGGGTAGATTTAGGGGTCCGGTAAAAAAAAAATTACATTTAATTTGCATAATGCATAATTTTGATATTTATGTTTATATGTGTCTAAGTTAATTTTTGTGCAATTCAAAAAATGTGCAATCCATGAAGTAATTGCGTTTAAATGTTCCCAAATCGACTTTTTGCAATCTAGGAAAATATGATATTTTTTTATATAAAAGTTAAGAATCATACATTAAATTTGTGATTAAAAATACAAATAATTTTACTATTAAACTACATAACTATTAGTATAAATATATGGTATTTATGCAAATATATCACCCCTAAACAGAGTAATGACTAATGACTAATGACAACGATACTGCAAGAAATGAGCCTCTGCCATTACCGTGCTGAAGCAGTAATTACCAAAAGGTTAAAAATACCCCTTGAGCCTGCCATTTGGTATTTTCAACCGAACCATGCTTCCAAATTTGGGTTGGCAAGGGCGGTGGCCATGGCAGGCCGGCAATTCGCCCAGCCCCCTATGGTATATACCTTTTTTAACATTTTCTTTTCCATTATACACGCAAATACAACTGTTGATCACGTGTTTATACATTGATGAGTTTATATTAATATAATAATTATAGTCCTTTAATAAAAAAATTTTATTTATGGGTATGTATTTAATAATATTAAATTTTCAAAATAGGTTAAACCTCAATTTAATCTCTAAATTATTGTATGAACTATTGATTTGGGCTCTGTCATAACTCAAATTTTAGTAGGATTTTATTTTATTTTAGTTTTATTTTATTATAACTAATATGTTTTATCTTTGTTTTCCTTATTAGGTTTATGAGTAAAAAAAGGGGATTTTTGCAAAGGATTGAAAAGAAGTTGAAGGATGAGGGACCCAAAAGTTAAAGGGAGAGATGCATTAAAATTTAAGCTTACCAACTACCCAAGCCCAAAATCTCAAAACCAAAAATTACCCAAATCCAAAACCCATAACATGACCCATTAACCCAAACCCAAAACCCATTTAACCTAAAACCCAAACCCAAAAACAAAAAAAAAAAAGAAAAGAAAAAAAAAAAAGAAAAAAAAAACATTTGATCAGATTAAAAATTTTTTTTTTTATTAACTAAATGTCTTCGTTCTCTCTTTCTCTCTCTCCCCAGAACCTTCTTCCTCCCTCACACCCAAGCTTTGCGCCCTGCGCCCTGCGCCCTGCGCCCTGCGCCCTGCGCCCTGCACCTACATGCTTCTGCTCCTGCGCTCTGCGCCCAATCCCTGCTGCAGCGCCTGCACTTTCCCCTTTGCGCCCCTGCGCCCCCTGCTGCACCGAGCCTGCGCCCCGATAACGTCCAGATCCCCTCTGCCCTGCACTCCCTGCTGCGTTGACCTTGCTTGCTGCAATCCTCTGCACCTCACTGCAGCCCAGTCCCGTGCCTGCTCTGCCCAGAGGCCTGCACAAGAAACAAAGAGAAAAGGGCTTTCGGTCCTTTGCTTTTCAGCCTGCAGAAATCAGCAACTGTACTTGGAGGATCAACGGTAAAAGAAAAAAAAGGAAGATCAAAGGGCTCCGGAGTTTGAAAGTTT